TTCTGGTGGCCCACTCTACAAGCAGAGACAATCGTCTTCATCCGAGACTGTGCAACTTGCAACATAACCAAATCCCCTCATCAACTGCCTGCTGGTCTCCTACAACCATTACCCATCCCACAACGCCCCTGGTCCCACATAGCCATCGACTTCATAACAGATCTGCCTGCCTCACAGGGTCACACTACCATTCTCACTGTTATCGATCGCTTTTCCAAGGCCTGCCGCCTGATTCCTCTACCCAAGCTACCCACTGCTGTTGAGACAGCCGAGGTCCTCTGCAACTATGTGTTCAGGTTTTACGGCCTTCCTGAGGACGTGGTAGACCCCGCGGAAGACCCCGGCGTCGTCTGCCTCTGCGTGTCAGGAGCCGCTCACGGGGGGGCTCTGTCACAAATTCAGCCTCTGTGACTCCCTCCGATCACGTTTACGATTGCTTGCTGCCTACCTCTTCTGACCCTGCCTGCCTTGTTGATTCATGCTCTTGTTTGTCTGCCGCCTGCCTCGACCCTGATCATGAACACTGTTTACGATTCTGGCCAGCCTTCGTTGTGTCTAACACCAGTTCTATGCCTGTATGACCTACCTTGTGAACTAATAAAGCTGCACATGGATCCTAACGCCACTGCCTCTTTGTAACAATTTGTTTCTTACAAACACCATAGTGGATTAAACTGCAGCACACAGGTCATAGAGTATAAATTAAATAAAGGGAAAATCACTCTCCTCCAGTAGCGGCTGAAATAAGATGGAAATAATAAAAAATACAGGAACTCACCAGAGCCCTGGTCATTGCTGCTTGTCTCTCTGCTTTGTTGGCTGTCTTTCCCTTCCACACAAATATTGACATTCCCCCCTGGTCCAAAATGTAGCAGTCCTGAACGAAAGACAGAAAGAAAGAAAGAAAGGCAACAAATGCTTAAAATAATAGAGATTTTTCATATGAAATACTATTTTTTTGTAGTATATTTATATACACATCATAAATTATATTAAAGCATGTTTCAGCAATCAGGGTCAGAAATGTTGTGCATTAGTGCATTCCTTTTGATTTTGTTTTCTTTTGTTGTCTAACATTTGACGTATTCATAATAATAAATCCTAGGCCCTTATATTTATGGTTTTAGTGTGCCACCATAGTGACATGTAGTTAACATATCTGTGATTCTCAGAGGCGAGTGTTGAGATGCCTTCCACTATTTGTGTTAATGTAATAACTGGATGGATAAATGTCAAGTTAATGAATTTAATTTAGTTGAAAACACTCACATGCAAAAATTATGTGACAAAGGGTCTGTGATTGCTATACAAACCTTTTGCATCAAAGAAAATCTCCCCTGTATATAGAAGTATTTGTAAACTTACTTTCTGACCAACAAATCAATCACAAATGAACACACAATTACATGAAAGCAAATATTTGATCAGATGATATTTTGGATTGACTTGTTATGTTCTAATGGGAATAAACTATAAGAGTGGATTATCTATGCATTCTACACAAATTACCACTACAGCTGCAAAAGTTCATGTGTGTACTTACATCGTGATTCAGCATGTCCTGTGTGAGTGGACTGGTTGCAATCTCTGTGATGTTCATAGCTCCATTAGCGTCTGACACACTGCAACGTTTAAGGTTTGTTAGATTAAGTAACGAATCATAAACATTCTAACTAGTACCCCGTAAACATTAGGTGAGCCGATGAATCAATTAAATGACATATTAGGTAATACAAACAGCTGACATGTCAGACATAAAACCTAGAGCTGATAGCACTTACTGATAGAGGATGAGCTTAGACATTTGCTCCAGGTCAGTTATTTCATCAGGCGTCCCACTGGGCAGCTTAGAGGGCCGTTCACCCAAAAGGCTCACCATCAACTCCATTAACGAAGGGGAGTTTGCCTCTGCATCCCCCTCAATCACGCCGATTTCTGGCCGACCCCCTCTCTCACGATCCCTGATGTCCTTGGCCAGCATCATGCCCTTACAGTCAACAATGAGCAGCATGACATTATGATTTAAAAGAACCCAAAACTTTACCATAAGTATATATATATATACATAAGAGGCCACCTTCAGACGTTCTTGTTTGTTGCTTTCAGGGCCATTCCACTGGATAATGGTCTTGCCGAGATCCAGCAGAAAGACACTCCCAGTGTCAAAGCTGTTCCAGCTCATTTCCACCTGCAAATTGGCCAGTGATTTACTCGTTCATCGCTTGAGAATCATAGCCTCAATAATTTCACTCTGACGGAGATCCACAAGCATTTTGATAATTGGACAGATCCATTCAAGATCAGACGAAGGATTGAGAGGAACATTAGGGTTAAAAACACTCAGGCAAACTAGTGAAATCAAGAAACCGGACAAACATTCACCATTTTGGTACCTGCTGTGGTACTAGAAGACATTTAGTAATACTCCAGACAAACAGTTTGCTCACCTCTGTGCCAGTCACTTTCCTTTTTCCTTTCACGTGCAGCAGTCTTTGAATGTTATAAGTGTTTGTCTCCACGTGGTTCATTCCCGATGACACCCCTCCGGACTTATAACTAAGGACATATGAAGACATGTATTTGTGGCTTTTTGTCATCTTCGTGAACCATACACAGAAGAACGTAAGAATGTAAGGTTGGACTGTTTCTAGATATGAGTGGCCACTAAGGGGCCCCAAGCCACCAGGGGGCCTTGTAAAGTAACGTTTTTTTGTTTTGTTTTTTAGGTTACATGTACAATAACAGTGGCTGTTGTTGTTCTTATATTTTATCTAGCTTGCACAACTTTCTTTCTATCAACTATTTTGCTCTATTATAATTAGATCTGACAGATTTGGGATGCTTACATTATGCCCTGTTTGAAATATCCGCAGAAGATGCTGGATTCGTGGTGCTGCACCTCCCGGTGCTGAACAGGTGAGGAGCCCAGGAACTCATCCAGCTGCATGGCATAGACAGCAGCAGCTCCCTGTTCAGCCAGTGTAGACATGGATCCTATCCAGTAATGAATGTCATAGTATGCAGATTTGCCACCTTTGCGTGTCTACATATAGATGACAGACATAGCATGTAAAACCTGAGGCTGTAACTGAATTTTTAATTGGTTATGTGATGTCTACATTATGCCCTGTTTGAAATATCCGCAGAAGATGCTGGATTCGTGGTGCTGCACCTCCCGATGCTGAACAGGTGAGGAGCCCAGGAACTCATCCAGCTGCATGGCATAGACAGCAGCAGCTCCCTGTTCAGCCAGTGTAGACATGGATCCTATCCAGTAATGAATGTCATAGTATGCAGATTTGCCACCTTTGCGTGTCTACATATAGATGACAGACATAGGATGTAAAACCTGAGGCTGTAACAGAATTTTTATTGGTTATGTGATGTCTAAGCACCAATAGTTGTCTAACAGGAAATTGTCAGGTTAGGCTGAAGGTGAGGACAATGGGCTTTTTATTAGAGTTCAAAAATAACACAAAAGACAATACAAACTACCCCAAGGAGGGGAAAATATAGTCCAAGCAGGCAGTGACAGGACTGGAGCTCACATGCCACTCACACACACACACACACACACACACACACACACACACTCACACACACACGCTCGCACGCACACACACACACTCACACACACACACAAAGGCAAGAGCTCTGTCACCAAACTAAGTATAAACTCAACAGAGGTGACAGAACCCTGACAGAAACAACATGCAATTCGGTTTTACACATTTTCACAACATAATTTGGAAAGATTATATTCACTTACTGAGAGCAATAAATAGCAGTCACTTTCATAAAACTGTCCATGAAATTTTTCCGGGACCAAAACAAGATCCATTTTCTGTGGGTGGGAAAAAAATGTAAGTGTGAAATTTCCTTGAAAACAGCTTGAAAGCCTGTCTAAAATCTTTGTTTAAAAACTTTGATCAAATGAGTTGTACAATACAAAAGTTACTCCCCAGATTGCTATTCGCTTGCAATCAGTGTTGTACAGTTCAGCTGTATATACTGCACTTCACAATGGAGGCCGAGAAGTCTTGAATCCAGTTTAAGGATGAAGGCCTGATAGGAAGTAGCTACCGTTCAAATGGTGAAGACAATTATAAGAGCTTTGGACAACCACTGAGTCTTAAGGAGAGTGGAGCTTTAGGTCTTTCGCACACTGCTGTCAGCTGCATAGAACAGTCTGCTTTTCCACCACAGTACAGTGAATAAATGTATTGTTTTTAGCAAGTGAGTAAGTCAAGAACACAGAAGAAGCTGCAGAATTCAAGTGCATCTAGCTGCGTCCCACAGGACTGCAAACCGCGGCCACGACAATTATGTCTGTTACTACAAGTCACCGCCCCTAAAGATACAAGGACCTAGGGACTGTCACCAGAGCCTCTCCCCATGGGACGCGCTGATGCCATCATTAGTAACGCTCTGATCGGCTGAACTCATCACTTTTAAAAGCATTGTAATGATGAAACTCTACATGTAGATTTGATAGCAATATCATTATGCCAAACAAATATATAATGTACAGATAGTTTCACTTGCGGGAGGCGTAACTTTTGGCCGTGGTTCGTAGTCCTCTGAGACACAGACAGAGCCTTTCACAGAATGCACACAATAAGTGTCATCCACATTCAATCATATGTTTCTTCAATAGATTTGAATCATTTGTTCCACCATCAACTTCTTCTTTGACCATCTATTGCTGACAGAATCGAATGCTACCTCGATTCTCCAGATGAGTGTCCCTGGAGAGTGTGTGATGGCTCTGAATGTGTGCTGCATGATTCAGCGGTGCGCACCGGACTAAAAACCCACAGAGAAAATAGTTCATTGGGTTATTAGCTTTAATTCAGCATCACTACATGTTCCATTCATGTTTAAGAAGTAATTGCTAGTATTCTTTACACTTACGTTTTATTATGTTTAACTAAATGTAACGTAGTTTTAATAAAAGCTACTGCTTTAATTGGAACAAAACAAAAGTTTGCATGGCAAGTTGTTACCTGGAAGTCGAAGCAGTGATTTAGAAGAGCTTTAGAGATGATTCCCTTCAGATGGATAAAGGCTGGTGTGTAAATCCGGTCAGAGACAGGTGAGCAAGTCCAGGACAGAGCAAAATATGCCCTTTTTTGTCCAGGTCTTTCGCATCGATTTTACAAACACTTCATTTGGTTGTATTTGCCTGCTGTTACTCAATCCTGAGCTCAACAACCAATCAGGATAAGACTTTAACACAGTCAATGCAAATGAGTAACGTCAACAGCGAGAGATATTCAAAAGACAAGGAAAGCGATCATAATCAGTCCATCAGGTGTGTTTAGAGCCAGCGCTTCCTCAAATTAATGCAACAACATGGACTGTATCACTCTAGTACTTATGAAGTGAAGTCAGGTTATCACTGAAGGCTTGGGTGCGCTGTGAGATCTTGCTCTGGCGCTGCTGAAATGACTTGTCAATGAAGTGTTGTGAGGTTTCAATAGCATGATGGTATAACACTGTAGTTACAAGATAGCCAAATATGTTGGAGGCACTGAATATACTTAACTGTGTAACACTAAATCATCTTTCTTTGAACATTTTCTTGATTATGTGACAAAAATGAAAGACTGTATGGTACCAAGACCATACAAGCATCGCTTCCTCCAATGTTCTGACAACAGGAGATGCACTTTTTCACTGGAGGAAGAGTTATTATGGATTATGGACTTGTATTCGAGTTAAAAACAGATTTGTTTCAGCTTTTGTCTTCTCCAGATGTTAACTGATGGACTGGAGTGCTGTGGATTATTGTGATGCTTTTATCAGCTGTTTGGTCTTTTCATTTTTGGATGAAACTCTTCCTTTGAATCACTGATAACAGTTTGAATCATTCAACATATTTTATTTTGCACAAAAAACAAACATGAATAGAGGATCAAAATGATACATTTAGACACACATTTGCTTTGACGAGGTGACGCACCGTTCTGACACTGCTTCTGCGGTCACTCATTTTAATGTCCACCACAAAATGAGTTCAAATATAAAAACCACTTACAGTAGCTTAGTAGTAAAGACATCTTGTGTTGAACCGTCAGTTACATTAATAGTAAGGAATCAGTAAGTATTAGAAATTACCTGAGAAACAAGATCTTGTGGGGAAGAAACAAAGGTAACACTTCAGTAAAGGGATCAATTCTCACTATTAACTAGTTGCTTATTAGCATGCCTGTTATTAACATATCGGCTGTCTCTTAGTACTTATAAAGCACATATTCTGCATGACCAGATTCTACATCCATAATGCTACCTAATACCTAAAGTTTATTGAGGCAAAAGTCATGGTTTGTTAATATCAAGAATTGGACCTTAAAATAAAACATGACAAAAAAAAAAAAAAACTAATTAGCCACCTAAAAAACGGACGCTTTATGGTTCATCAATGTGATCTTAACAGCACAACTAATCAATCATATTTCTGAAATTAGAAAAAAAAATGTTTTAAAACCTTTGCAATAAATACAAATAGTTTTTGGGTTACACTTTATTTTAAGGTGTCCTTGTTACAGTGTAATTATACATTTAAGTACTGAGTAATATTAATTAACTGCATGTACTTGTACTACATGTAACATGTGTAACAAGGACACCTTAAGATAAAGTTACCAGTTTTTTTGTTACATTTCATATGAACTAGAGTCCTATGAACAACAGATGAGCATTGGAAACACCTTGAAATATCAGTTTCAAATTCACTCTGCTGGTACTGATTTCTAATAAGGCGAATGGCTTCTGTTTCTTCCACAGACGTCTGTTCTGGGAGTGTGTTTGCTCAGCTTTTTTCTGTAATTACCACAGTGGTATATTTAAGACAGCGAATGCCACTCACTTAACTGTAAGGGCCCCAAACTACATGCTTTAAATTAAGTAAAAAATAATATTTGGTGAAACCACCCTTTGCTTTAAACAGCTTTTTCCTAGGTACACGTGCACACAGTTTTAAGGCAGTTTGCAGCTAGGCCATTTTATAGGCTTCTTACCATCTGTTTTAGGACTCCTTGATCATATAAACATTCTATTGGATTATTACAAGATTTGCAGAAGGAATGTTTGGACATGTAAAACTGATATTACCTACTGGTGCACTAATGAAAAAGACATAAATCCCTTCTAAGAAGCGTCTAATGTGCCTGAAAGCTTAGTGCATTTAGAGGACGTGCACAGAAACATGTTGCTCAATCGAGGTTTCTATAGTATTTCTACACTGTAAAATCCAATAGTTGACCTTACTTAGATTTAATTAGTAATCTTTACTTAGTTGTTATACTTACTAGGTTTTATTAAGTTACAGCTACTTTCAAGGCAAATAAAACAATTTACTTACTGTTTTGAGTGACACTTACTTAAAATATTCAAGTAGCCACAAAGGAACCAATGACATTAATAAACCAATGAGAGGCAGCAGTGTACTAATATGCTGCTAATGTGCAACATAACAACAGAAGAAGAAGAAAACAAAACGAGTCTTAGTAGACTTTTCACCCATCTCC